TTTAAGTAACCATGCAAGTCTCCATTTTTTTCCTTTGGAATTTTCAATAGCATGGAAACAAAAGTGAATATTCTATATTACGTCTTTCCTTTAGGCAGAAATCTCTCTTGTGACCGCAGCCGCTGTTGGAAATTACTATTTTCGTATTCTGGTTGAGAAAATGTTTCCTTCCTTTATTATCAGCAATCAATCTCAAAAAGCTTTTTAGTTCCATGTCACTGCTCCCTTTAACCGATATGGCTGTAATTAATGTAATTTTTGTGATTTTGTTTTTCGCAATAATGGCGATGACTGCCGCGTTTCCAAGAAGTGAGAACAACATCATTACGATGTAACTTATTGCTTTGATGGCTTTTGTAGACACGGGATCTTCTTTGATGAAAGGCATGCATCTGACATCAGTCGAGTTTAGCATGGTGGTATTAATAAGAGTACCATCCATCATGTTTACTCATACCGTGTAGTGTATATAATTATTTAGGAAGTCGACATAATTGGCCAGCTAACCCTGAAGGTTGGTTTTTACTTGGGCATAAACATAAGCTTAAGACGCCGGAAAAATTTGAAAACGGCGTTTTTCGGCACCCTGAATGCACAAATGTTTCCCGTCGATACTACGCCGGAGAAATTTGACTAGTCAACCATAACCGGTCATTTTGAATTTATGTTTGAGGGAAACCTCGGGCGGGAAGTCACATGATTATCGTGACGTCATTGTTTTCAAAAAGCTCCGTTTTCAAAATGTTCTCCTTCCACACTAAAACGCAAAACCGGCTTTTCAAATTCCCCCGGTTTGAAGAGCGTTTTCGAAAAGCTCCGTTTTCGTGACGGATTAGTGTGGACGGTAGGCCTAACCGGAGAAATAAAGCTACGTTTTCAAATTTCTCCGGCGGACGGGGCCTAAGCAACACATGCAAACGTAGTAGGGCGCCAAAAAGGGCGCTTATTATCAACATCTTACTGAGTCTGCATGCATATGTCGCTTAAACAAATGCTTATGAGCTAGTGAAAACAGTCGCCCGTGGGCCGCAACTTGTCTACAGCTTTGTCAAAGAGGTGCGACAGATAGATACAAGATAAATTGTCAAACAAGTCCAACAAACGTAAAAAGGCGGTAAATTGATATAAGTTACGACTAAAAGGAAATTCAATAATTTATTTGTCGGTTAATTTTACCGTCCTCGATTATTTAGTTTCACAAATAACTTTTTTTGTATTTGCTTAATAATATGGTCCATCATGATGGCTGGGTAATTTCGGGTACGGACTTTAAACTTCGTAATTTCAAATTGGTTTAGTAAACGATTTAAGTAATTTTAAAATGCAGAGCTTCTTTAATCAAGATTTTAAACGGCCAAAAGAGTGTTCTGTGTAATACTGATAGGAACAGATAAGCCTAAATAATGTGTCATCTTTCAACGATCTTTGTAGCAAATTTAAATTAAAAGAATTTTCGATGTAATATTCTCTTTTAAATGTATGTGTCCTTAGATCAGGGAATCCGATAAAAAATTAGCATTTTCAATGTCTTTCGCCTATATCTTTGTCGCTTTTTTGTTCATCAGTAGTGTTGTTAAGCAAATTTTAGAAATTTGAATGAAAAGGTACGATCATCATTGAAACAGTGACCACCTCAAGTGCAGAAAAGGAAAACTCTTGCTGTGTTGGATGAAAAAGCTTCTATTTTGACAAATCATTGTCGCGTCTGAACTGATCCGGCCTCTTATTTTGGGTAAAAGAAGAAGAAATGACCCAAAGAAGAAAAGCCGACAGGGCAAGTAAAACAAAACCGGGTCCCCCTCTTAGCTCAATGTCTGGATCCGCCACTGGTACCTGCTAGCAAACAGCTGATGCCAAAACATGTCGGTAAAAAATAAACATCTCTAAGATTACTCTCTCACCTCCCAGTCAGTTTCTTCGCCACAGAAGACTAAATTGCTTCGTCGTTAGATAGGAGTGCGACATTAACTGATATCACGGATTCTGGAAGATACCTTATGGGATGTGGTTTCGACTGGTAACAGAAATTCGATTACAGACGTAAGTTTGTAACGTGCAAGTTTTCAACAACAAAAAAATACACGGATTCGCTTCCTTTACTCCTGTAAGCGTTTTTATTATTATTATTCAGCGTCTTTTATAGAAGATTCATTTGCATCAACTCACAAAGCTAAAAAAAAAAATGCAGCAAGCAAAATGAGCTGAAAGGACCACATATTTGTCTTAGTTCACATTGCCTGTTAACAAAATGTAAGACGATTACGTTTCAGGGAAAATCTGGCAAACTCACATTTCCGAAAAATAATGATTAATATATGTCCCTCTTCTCCATTTTCAAATTATTTGTACAAAAGCACGACAAACATAAAGATGTCTGACAGCTTGTGGCAGAGATTACCTCGGCTCTTAATGTCGAACTGTATTGTCATGCAAATATAACAATGTTTAAGAGAAACAGGCTAGCTATTAGGTTCAACTTATAGAAAGTGCCTTAAGTATGTGACTTTCATACACTTCAAAAATTCAAAGAAACTATAGTATCCTCTTCTGGAAAAAACATTTGAAAAAGACTATAAAACAGCACAAGACTTGCAAACACTGTCCTATGCACTGGAACACACAAAGTTGTGGACCTAAGCTTTTCTTGTTTAATTTGGGAAAAGGCCAAGTAGAAGCGAAGACGAAAACATCACAAACGTTTTGTATATTTTAATTAGCAATTACAGCACTAGTTTACGTCAACCATTTAATGAAAATATTAATGTTTTTGCGCCATCTCAGACGTGATAGTCGCTTTCTGAAAATGGGTCTCTTCACAAACAAAGCCCTCTATCGCTATGGAAATTTACGTGAAATTAATTTTACTGACGCCCACAATGTTATTAATTTCAGTGAAAACAGAGCGCGCATAGAATCTTATCTCGCAACTCTCAGTCGAAACAATCTTCTTGCAACATTTTTTATCCGAAACTTATGAGCAAAAATATTCCAAAGAAAAATAAAGGATATATTTGTCAAAATCGAGCGATGGAACCTATTAAAAACAGTCAAAACACTAGTTAGTGCTAGCCATGCTGCGAAAACTACCTATGTTTTAATGTATTCATTTCGATGTCTTTTATCGCCTCCGCGCGAGGAAAATATACTTTGCCTTTGAGAATATTTCGCAGACCCTGGCGATATCTCTCATTTAGAAGGAAATAAATGCACGGGTTCAGTGATGCGTTCGAGTAAAATATGAACTTAGCTGCGAAGCTCAAATGGTCCATACCACAAGGAATTCCCTTGTACCACGCGAAGAAAAATAGAAAACCTAAGATATCTATTGGTAATATGCAAATAGCGAATAAAACTATAATTGCTAGAATTTTCCACATGATTTTAGCGTTCTCTCTCTGCCGGCTTTTCATGAGTGAAGATGCACATCCTTTTCCAAAGGGTTTCTGTTTTTTCAGAGCTCTAAATATGAGTGAATACAAAACGGTTATTATTATTAAAGGGATGGCGATCAAAACAACTGATGTCATAATAAAGTTGATCTTCACTGCTCGTGGATTGTCGAAGAAGCAAAAACTGATTCCTTTTACTTGTTCATGGCGTACCGTGTAAAAATAAATACCGTGTAGAGCCATGGATATCAACCATATCAGTGCAATAACAACTTTGCGTCGTTTCGGAGTTATGATAGGACGACGAAAGGGCGAAACAACTCCAGTGTACCTATCCAATGTGATAACAACGAT